AGTGGCCCAGAGCTAAAAGAGACTCAGAAACAGCGAGGGAGGACAAGAGTCTCCTCACAAGAATTAGAATTAAGCATCACAAAGCAAGGCGTGGCCCCGACACAGATAAAGTTACTCTCTGATCTGTCCCAGTCCCCTTACTGTATCGAGTATGATAGACTGGGTCTGGGGAGTTTGAATTTTAGTGTGTCTAAGAGCCGGGGGCAGTGGAGATTGAGTACAATTAATAAATCATTCACTTTGTGCGAAACGTAAGAGAAATAATATGTATATATTACATGTACATGTATTCTTGTTGCATGTACATGTAATAAATATTTTATTCCTGTTCCCCCAGTTATCCTGCAGTTTGGGTCGTTCCTTATAAATTCAGCGATGAGTCTATTACAAGGATACTCCCTCATTTCCAGCAGGGGCGGGTCCCCATCGTAACCTGGAAGCACCCTCGTACCAAAGCAATCCTCCTTCGCTCCGCCTCCTTTAAGAACCCTGTGTCGCAGGGGAAGAGCAGGAGAGTCATTCTTACTAAACATGGCAGCTCTGAGAAGATATCAGACTCTGACCTGTTAGGCATTCAAAGTGCAGATATTGAGTCCTTTATTAGTGTCATTGTCAGCTCTTGTCCTAAAGTATTGGATAGAGGAGAAGGTACATATGTACATGTACATATGTACATGTACATGTATATAGTGTAACCTCTTTATTAAGGACACCATTGATACCAACAATACTTGTCATTAATACAGAGCTGTCTTCATTTCAGAAATGCTTAGTCCAGTCTTTGTGTAGGAAAGTTTCATTTTTAAAGTGCTTTTTGTATCAAATGGTGTCCTTATTTGTAGAGGTTCCACTTTACATTATAACGCAATCATACATGTAATTAGGCTTTGTGTATAAATGAACTTGTACTATTATTATTTTATCTTTAAAGGTGAAGATGTTACCTACTGGTCCGGCAGTTTCTCACATGACATCTCTATGCCTCCGACTAGCCTGAGGTTTGATCGCGAGTCTGACCCGTCCACCTCTTCTTTACTACTGGCAGCGTTACCCCCACAGTCACCTCAGTCACCCTCCCCTCACTCACCTGTACCACAATCACCTCACTCCCCAGTGCCTAAGAGAAGAATGAGCACCAGTAGTAATAACTTTGAGCCGCCCACAGGAGGAGGAGGGGGAGGGAGAGAGGGTCGGTATAGGAACTCACTCTATGCCTCTTTGGATAGTTCTGATCCGTCTCAAATCTTAGACTGGGAGAGTGGCAGCTTCCGGTATAGTGTTTCATATCACGAAGATGGAGCTGAGTCAGGACAGCCTCTTACTCTCTCATCCGTAAGGAATCAATCTGACGAACCAGTTTCCCTAATGCCACTGACCAGTATACCATCACTGTATCGGGACAGTGTTGAAGAGGAGGAGCTTTACAGAGGAGATAGGGAGGGAGGGAGTGATGATGTAAGCATACCATTTGACTCACCTGATCTTGGAGGAGGGGATGAGCTAATGGAGACTGATGAGCTCTATCCTCTGCCTTCCTTTAGAGAAGGATCAGGTGGGAAGGGCAGCAAGAAACTAAAGAGAAGGAGTGCTCTTGTTAACTTTGCTTCAATACCCACTAACCCACGGGATTGGGTCGTTATGGATGCACTCCAGGAAGAGATTAAAGACTGGAAACTATTGGGACTCTATGTGATTGGAGAGAAGAGCTCACTTGTTAATGTACCTACTGATATATACCCCAACTGCACACTCCTGCCTGTGGAGGTATGAGAGAGAGAGTGTGTGTGATTAAGTAAAGAAATGTGTCAACTATTAGGCTAAAAGATTTGATTTTATAATTTTACTGTATTTATGTACATGTAGTTGTGTATTTTTACAATTACATGTATGTACATGTACCACAAATATTAAATTTTTGCATTACATTTAACAGACTTTAGCATTACCCTTTACATCATTTTGTATTTATTTCTCATTAGATATCCAGTCATGTTGATATTGGTAATAGTTTCACTAAGCTGATGCGTGCCTGCTGCCCCAGTGGTGCCTCTTCCTCTACCACGCATCAGAGCAAGTTCTATTCACTAGTTGAGGACAGCGACTGGATAAACCAATTGAGTTCATTACTTCAGTTATCTGGAGCTGTTGCTGATCTTATGGACGCACAGGGTTCCTCTGTACTAGTTGGACTAGAGGATGGTTGGGATGCTACTGCACAAGTTGGTTTCGATAATAATTCTTATCATTATTGTTAATACTAATTATTATATTTATTTATGGTTTTTATGCTCTTCCTTTTTGCTCTTTCTCTCTCTCCCTCTCTTTCTCTCTCCCTCTCTCTTTATGCTCCTTTTTTACTTTTATCTCACTCCTCCTTCCCCCTCCTCTTTCTCTCTCTCTCTTCTCTACAGGTTGTTTCTCTTGCCCAGTTGTTGATGGATCCTTATTACAGAACCATGAAAGGTTTCTGTGCCCTCATTGAGAAGGAATGGCTGGCATTGGGTCACCCATTCACTGACAGGAGCTGTCAGATTCAGAGCTCCAGTGGAGCCATATCTCCTGTATTTCTGCAGTTCCTTGATTGTGTCCATCAGGTATAATCTCATAGCTACACTATATACTTGTGTACTGTACATGTATGTGCATGCATATCACAAAGTACAATGTACCGTATAGCGGAAAATTTTCGTGGCCCAAAATTTTCGTGGATCCGTCCAAAAATCAATTTCATGGAATTAATTTTCGTGGTTTTCTACAATTCGGCCATCTTAAACCGTATAAAATTGATTTTCGCGGATTTTATTTTCGTGGATTTTGAAAAAACGCGAAATCCACGGAAATTTTGGGCCACGAAAATTTTCTGCTATACGGTATGACATAAAGTCTACTTATTTTCTAAAATTCTGATGCATATTAATGTTTATAAAAGTTTGAGCCGATTCCAACAGATATTTTTAAAGTTATGAGCAATTTAAAGATGAGCCAATTTTTAAAGAAAAGCATGGACTGTAGCCCATGGTTTTTTTCAAAAAATGGCTCCAAAATCACCCCCAATTTTTATTAAATTTTCTGATGCATATTGATGTCCTTATGCTGTGTAGAAAGTTTGAGCTGATTCCGACTTCATTTTTTCAAGTTACAGCCATTTTAAGAAAACGGCAAAATTCTGTAAAATACCCAAGGCTATAGCCCATGGTTTTTTCAAAAAATGGCTCCAAAATCACCCCCAATTTTTATTAGATTTTCTGATGCATATTGATGTCCTTATGCTATGTAGAAAGTTTGAGCTGATTCCGACTTCATTTTTTCAAGTTACAGCCATTTTAAGAAAACGGCAAAATTCTGTAAAATACCCAAGGCTATAGCCCATGGTTTTTCCCAAAAAATGGCTCCAAAATGACTTAAATTTTTTATTACATTTTTTGATACATATTGATGCCCTTATGCTGTGTAGAAAGTTTGAGCTGATTCTGACAAATATTTTTTGAGTTATGAGCATTTAAAAAAATGGGCCAATTTTCAAAAAGTACCCAAGGCTATTATAGCCCATGGTTTTTTTCAAAAAATGGCTCCAAAATGACTTAAATTTTTTATTAAATTTTCTGATGCATATTGATGTCCTAATGCTGTGTAGAAAGTTTGAACTGATTCCGACTTCAATTCTTCAAGTTACGGCCATTTTAAGAAAACGGCAAAAATCTGAAAAATACCCAAGGCTATATATAGCCCATGGTTTTTCCCAAAAAATGGCTCCAAAATGACTTAAATTTTTTATTAAATTTTCTGATGCATATTGATGTCCTTATGCTGTGTAGAAAGTTTGAACTGATTCCGACTTCAATTCTTCAAGTTACGGCCATTTTAAGAAAACGGCAAAAATCTGAAAAATACCCAAGGCTATAGCCCATGGTTTTTTTCAAAAAATGGCTCCAAAATCACCCCAAATTTTTATTACATTTTCTGATACATATTGATGTACTTATGCTGTGTAGAAAGTTTGAGCTGATTCTGACAAATTTTTTTCGAGTTATGAGCATTTTTTAAAGCAGAGGCTATGCCACACACATACTCACATGTATATAACATTATTATTTCTGTAATAATTATTTATTTATTTAATGGTATATTATAATAGCCCAAAAAAATAGCCATGTACATTCATAAAATATACATCTACATGTACTTATGTTTTA